TCTCTCTCTCTCTCTCTCTCTCTCTCTCTCTCTCTCTCTCTCTCTCTCATATTTTCTTATTTTTTATTTATTTTAAAAAAACTAACTTTATCTCAATTTTCATGTAGTTTTCCTGCACTCTCATGTGAATTTGCATCCGTTGACGTGAGTGATGTGTTGGGAACAGTAAGTTTCTCTCTCATTTTGTTTTGTCTATATTATCTATTCTGTTGTTGATTTTTGCTCCCTACTGTTAAAGATCCTTTGTTAGTCATTTTTTATATTCTTGATGTGGCATCCATCTGGCCTGAATTTGTGCCCTCTTATTTTCAGAACAGATTGAATATAACGAAAACAATTCGCAAGTTCTCTATAGGTCCAGATTTAAAACCCACCGGCTCTGAGTTCCACTCAGGACCCGCTTTACATGACATTAAGCATGGGGATGGTGATGAATATGCTGGTGATGGCTCTGTTTCACTAACCGCTCGAACTTTTGAAAAGTTTACTCACCAGTAAGTAGGCCAACTTTTAATTCCATACCTTTCATATTTAAAGCCACTGATGTGGGTGACTTCTGACTTTATGTTGCAAAATAATACCATTCCTGATTTTGCATTAAACAATTCTATTGCAGGCATCCAATTTTGGTTGTTAATTTTTATGCTCCTTGGTGCTACTGGAGCAATCGCCTGGTAAATTAATTAGCTTCACAAATTGCTCAAATTTCTTTGATGAAATTAGCTATGTTAATTAATCATTTTATACAATCTTGTTATATACTTGCGTATGTATATTTTATGGTTATGGCATGATGGCACAGAATTTAGAATCTCATCTTGTAGCCAGAAATCAAAGGTTAGGATGGGAAAACTTATTATGTCGCAGTTTTCATTCTGAGGATTTCTTCAACTTATTTAAATCTTTTAAGTTTTTCCACAAAAGAAAAAAACAGATAAAATCTTAAAGGTTGTAATATGTGTACTGTTTCGTCTGACTTATTACATACATTGTCTTGAATCTTGGAAACTTGTTTTGCCCCCATTTATACCTTTGATCATGTGTGTACTCGTGCGCATATGAGAAGCCACAAGATCCTTGAGTTGGTTCATGGTGCCCTTTCTTCATTTTCAATGGAAATGTCGAACGATACTTGTGCGCATTAAAAGTTTGGTTGATTGAATTGAACTATTTAGTCAAAATCATCCAAAAGCTGTATCTTCTTGCTGTGTTTGTTTCTTTTTCTTGTATTATGTTCCTGCTTCATTTTCTCTCTTCTTTTTTTTCTTTTTCAGAAACCTTCATGGGAGAAGGCCGCCAAAATAATAAGAGAAAGGTGCTTCATTCTGAAAGTTATACTGTTTTCTTCCAGATTTTATGATTTTTCAAGTGGTACTGTAATATTTTTTATTTTGCCACACAATGTCCAGAATTTGAAGTCCACAACTCCTCTCTCTCTCTCTCTCCCCTCTCTTTTGCCTCCATGTTTAACAGATATGATCCAGAAATAGATGGGCGTATTCTTTTGGCGAAAGTAGATTGTACTGAAGAAGGTGACTTGTGTAAGAGGTATATTTTAGATTGGTTATTCCTACTTTCTACTTGATTTTCTAATTTCTATGGATTTGCAATAGATTTTATATTGTACACCGCAAACATATGCACTTTCAGTTCTTATTAGTTGTATAAAGAAAATCTCAAAGTTTAATTAATATTTCTTGTTCTCCTCAATGAAACAAAGGATTTATAAATTGCGATATTTAATAACACTTACAGTGGAGAATAAAACTGAAAGACAACTCCAAGGAATACTAATTAGCGCAGGAACTTATTGCATTGCAATAATAATTTTGTAAATATCAGATTTTATTTACCATTAATAAAATTTTAAAACAGTAAGTTTAACTTGAAATGATCAGGGGGGTTTTTATCTGGCTTGAAAGGGCGGTCCAAACTCAACATGAAAGAGAAACCTACTTACCTTTGAAGAAGGTTTTGCAAAAAGTACTCTAAGCTGCCTTGCCTTAACTGGGGTGGTTTTCAAATAACAGCACTAGGGCATAGTCTTCTGAAATGCCAATTGGAGCTTTAGATTTTATCTTGAGTTTAGCGTTCTCATCAATAAGCTTCATGCTTACACATGAGTATGTTTTGACTCTCTTTCTGCTTGAACAGAGAACTGTTAACCTCAGGGTGGGAACATGGATGTGCTCATGTTTTAGTCTGTCTCTGTCCTATTTATTTTCCCATGCTAATTTTGTATGATTGCTACAGTTAAGCCATCAGTCATAGCATCCTGGAATTGAACCACCATTTGAACTTTTTTCATATTCAAATAGTCATTGCCTTACGTTACCCCAAATACAACATTATTGTACTCTTCTTTACTTACCTCTCAAGTTTGCTTAATGTACCACTGG